GCGTAAACAAATTTATAAATATTTCTCGCCAATCTGCTGTACGAGAAAACATGCACATACTCGTACACATAAAGTGGGAGCTAAATGAATAGAGAGGGGAAAGCTATTGTGGTGCCCTCTGAGGGGCAAACTGTCGGAAAGCAGCTTCTCATAACAAAGTTTTCTGCGAGCAACGCCTTACGGCTTTGACTGTAAACTATTCTATTTAAATTACTTTGCAGAACTTCAAGCCACTAGTTGCAATTCCGAACTCAGTTCCAGAGAGCGGATTTCCAGACTAAAACGGGGCGGAACGTTGCGGCTCTACTTTGTACCCGTTTCTCAGTCTCAGTCAGTATATACGCGGTCTTACGATTTAGGTAACTAATACAATATATTCTATAAGTCGTTTATAAAAATCGGTCGAGCCGTTTGGGAGGTTTTTATATAGAATATATATAAGATTAAATCTTATTTACATCTCCCTTATTTCCCTCCGCACTGCAGTAGGAAGGGTGTGTGGGAGAGAGTGTGTGTGGCTATCGCAGCCATTGAAATTTCATTTGATCCTTCTGGGCTATTCTTTCTGACTCTTCAATTTCTCGTATCTTCAAAATTGTGGATGCCACCGATGTTCGTCCATTGTGAATATACATATATCAAGAATATACATATATACTTTAGGTGTTACACGCATTCACTTTACCCTCAAATATGATATACCCCTATACTCTTTGAGTAGCGGGTACAAAAAAGACTCGTACTCACAAAATTCCCCACAAAAAGTGAGCAAACAGTTTGAAAACTGCACTCACTTTTATTCCTTAAGGGCTACAGATGCTTTTCCTTTTTCCCTTTCGGGCTAACGCATTTCCATGTCAGAAATTAGCTGATATCGTTAGGGAGCTGTCTCACACACTTGTACAGATATAGAAATAGCATTCGTGAAATTAGAAGAAGTTGCACGAAAATGAAAAATTCTTGAATGGAAGCCACTCATCATATTGTGGCAACGCAAACCCTTCCCTTTGCTATTTATGGTGAGCAGCTCTCAGGTCGGTCTGCAATAAGCCGCAGAAAGTTGCAATGGTAATCCACACCGGGGAAGGACGCACTTGGACATAATTAAATATAGCACAAGAAACAGGATAACTGAGCTTTGGGGGTCGCAGCTGAAAGTACCCTGACCTGACGGACAGACCCCATAGAAGTTCTTAAGAACTAAGATATATTGGAAAAGTAAAGGCCTGAGCGATTACTTGGTCGAAGAATCTAGCTTCTTTGCGTATCATAATAGAGTAAGTCATAATAGCCTTTCAACAGTTGGCAACAGGGTATATTGAGGGTCGCGAAGTTTTCAATGCTCTCCTGTAATGCCTACCATAGCGTGATGGCGATGATGATGGTGAAGGTGCTAGGCAACGCGTAGCGGGAAATGTTTACATCTGAGACGGATTGCCGAGTTTCAATGAGTTCGCCGTGTCCCAGTTCAAAGGACTCACTCGTAATAATTTGCATAAATTTCAATGAAGGTGCTTACGGCAAACAGATTGACGCTGGAAATGGCTTTAAAGTCCCTATTAAAGGATATTCCCGTATATAATATTCAGTTAATGAACAAAGGAAATGACAACTGCAGGACGAGCACTCTTAGGGAGAACAATTAACGATTGTGTTGCACCGTTGCACTTCAGTCGGTCTAATGGAGCGTGCCCTGAGCAGTGAGTTTGCAAATCACAATTAAATTGGCTTCAACTCTTTTGTCAAGTTACGAGAAAGGGCGAATGGACACATGGTGCTGTGAAACTGGTGGTGGTGCTTCCCCCTGGCGATTGTTTTAAATGAAGGACAACCCACAATTTGCATAAATTACAACGTAATAAATAATAAATGACAGCTAAATGAATTGGCACTTGCCATGACATGGCCAGACCGCCGGAAGGCCGATCAGACCGTTCCTTGCCCTGAGCTTGTCCAACACGCAAATTGTTAGACCCTCTCGTTGGCTCTTCCCTAGAAGCCCTTCATGACTTTGCATAATCAAGGTCATTGGATCATAGAAAATGCACTCGGCTATGGCATGGTATAGTTTGTCACCCCAATGTTGTGTAATAACAATGTGTTTCAAGACCATTGAAGCATTTAATATTCACTGCCCGTTGAGTAAAAGCAATTAAGAAGCCGTTTCCCTTAAACGAGCCTCGTGAAATCAAGATAGCGAGCTGCTATCTCGAAAGACGCGTAAGAGGCACTAACTTGTTGCTATCTTAATGGCGGTGTTATTTCAGTTGGAGACCGTTCGCTGAAATGCACTCTCCTCGCTAAGCATAGTTCGCCAAGGCTGCCTTCTGCTGCACTTGGAGGATTAACTTTGGCCCCCGTCTCGGGTTCAGCTGCTATCTTGATGCTGCACGAAATACTTTGAAGCTTTAAAAGATGCAAAATCCAACAGGTGTATCCTAGGTGTACAGTAATATTTCCTGTATCGTTTGCTAGAACCAAATTTGATATTGATTGATATTCTACGGTGCTGTCGTAAATCCAATCAAATCCAATGTTTGCTTGTTGCCGAGCAATCTCGTTTGGGTTTTGGCTCAGGAAACACAATTTCGCTGATTGTAATCAAATATGCTACACCGATCGGAGAACAAATAGCCACTCCCTGTTGAACAACATCCAGTATAAGTATATAATGTAAATCCTTGTATATCGATGAAGAGTAGAACCGTATGATTAATCGGTATCTATTCATGTAACTCTGTGTCTCGCATATGACCGAACACGCTCTTTGACATGTGGCGCCCGGTTGTCGCCTAAAAAAGCCCTGACCGCAGACCATCGACGGGGGCCATCCCCTTGATTTATGGTGAAATATATCACGTTTGTCCACCGGACACACCTACAGCTGAACAGTGGCCAAGCCAATGGTATTTTATTCTGGTTAACAATCGTGGCTGCAAATAAATTGGATTTTGATGGAAACAATTCACATTCGTGCAGCAGTTTAATGGGCAAAGACTCGGTTTTCCCTCTACGGGAAAAGCAAAGGGACTCCTGTAAAATTTAAAAAGCACGAGTATACATTATGGTGCATGAAACCTGTCAGTCAGCAGTTCAGCATAATCCATAAAGCCAGACAAATGCCACTAGAAAATCATTTAAAGAACATTACACTTACAGTTCTCTGAACTCAAGATACGAGTATATACATACCTCAAGATGTTGGCCGGCTCAAACAATGAGTACTCCAGGATTATGCTAATAACCTGGTCTCGGCCATTGATGCCTGTTAATGAGGGCAGACGGAGCCCATAGCCCTCAATGCGGGGCTCAGATTAACTCGGGCGGGTTCACTTCGGTTCACTTCTGTGCTTAATTTCAGTAGATTTGCTTGTGATTTGATTTTTCTTTTTTACATTCTGAGCACATTTGCTTTAGTGCCGAGTTGGCATCAGTTTCGTTTATGGCTACAAGCTACCGGTCTGCGTGAGCCATCAATTTTGATGGATGCGACACGCAGGCCTGAAGCTGGAGCTGAAGCTGGAGCTGAAGCTGGAGCTTCGGATTCATATTCCGGAAAAACTGTCAGCCATCTTTGCAGTTAACGGAGAGTTTCCCTACACACACGCATCACACGCATCACATCACACTCATCTGGCACTCAGGAATCCCTATTCCGCATCAATATTCCCACACTCAGCGCAATCTGCCACAGGACTTTTGGCAGCGGTTTTGCAGCAACTTTTCCATTAGGAAAGTTAAAGCCGAACATGAAACAAATTTAAGAAAGTTTCCCCCTGTTTTATCATGTAATTCGCCAATGAACAAATGGATGTTTTAACTTTTTCTGAGTGAGGTATTCACAGGTATTTTTGGCATTTATTATATTATTATTTTGTTTTGGTTAAATAAGGGATCATCCATTAGCGAATCCATCAACTTAGAGAAAAAAAGACTAATTAAAAGACTTTAATTGAGTATTCGTGTTTTAAATACAAACCTAGAGAAATTAAATAGAATCCACTTTGATGCAAACGTAAATACATTAAAAAGTCTTTTTAATATAATCTTATTAAAAAACTCTGTAAAATAAATACATCATATAATATTTTATTTTGAAAACAAGTTTTGCGTCGTGTTGTCGTCCGATATTTTACTCCGATGGGCACGTGTCAGCGAAATTTAATTTAAATATGTAATATTTTTATAAAATATACTGATATTTGGTTAAGGCACGGCGCCGCTTTTTTTTTATCAATAAATAAGTATTTATGACAAACTGGCCGCCATAAAAATACATCAAGCACGTAAATTGTGCGAAACCCATTGAAATTAAAAATAAATACCAATTAGAGCTTGCAATGTTATTTATTTTACATACAAAAAAATTACGTTCTGTTGTTTCATGCCTGACATCCAAGGATAAAGTAAAGCAGATAAGGTAACTCCCTTTGGGCCACTTTCTAACTGACATTTGACTAGACTTTTTTCATAGTAGATGTTCATGGTAGATTATCTTTCAAAATTTGTGGCACCCGAAGCTTTGATAAGAAGGGACGGCCCAGGTCTGCACTCTGCTTTTCTTTGACTGTTTTCTGCACAGCAATGTAATTATCCTTCATTGACTTTCCACAGCTCTGCCATGCCTCTTTTTGATATATTTGTTTGAAAAATAAATACAAATGTTAATGATATCTGGCCATATGCGCGAATGTAATCAATCCAGTGTACCCTCTACTAATTTGGCTGATGAGAGAATTGATTATACATACATATGTATGTACTCGTGTGACTATGTATGATTATTTCGCCAACCATTGACCTGTTTTGTCGCTCCTCTTGCTTCTTGGATTCATCATTACTTTCAGCAAAAACATCAACTTAGAGAATTTGTATAGTCGATAAAGGCCTTAAATCAAAATAGCACAGGCTTTTATTGACTTGTTGGGTTTTGGGTTGATATCAGATTTCAAATCATTCTGCCTCCCCAAAATTTGTATTTTGTTTTGCTTTTTTTTCAGCACGATCTGGTGGCGCCAGTATTTTGCATAATTAAAGCTGCCTCAGCAGATGCTGGACGCGATATGAAGTCGCTCGGATGATGGGTGGAGGTAAGTCACGGTCTATTGATAATGGTTATGGGTCTGGGGCTGGTGCTGGGGAGGCGAATTTTGCATTGCAAATCGATGGATTCTGATCCATGGATGTAGTTTGAAAGCGGTTAACAAATTTATACGCCCGACGCATGCGAGAAATTTTTGTTTCTGCTGGTTGTTTGGTGTTTGGTGTTTTGGGTTTTTTTGTTTTGCCGCCGCATTCCACTGGGGAATTCCTGATCAAAATAAACACTAAAATACTCGTAAACTCTTTAGCGGATGCTCTTGAACATTGGTCGGCGAAGAAGTGCTCGTTAAATGTCATTGTCGGGGTCATAAAATACTAAGAAACCCATTCCAATTAGCAGCCGCAGTCGTACATCTAACTAACATCTAACAGAAGGGCAAATTGCAACAATTGGCCAATTAGAGCATAAACCAAGAAAGAGATTCGAGTAAGTAATGGCTGATACATAATCATACGTTAGGCCGACTGCAAAATTTATGGCTGAGGTGAAGGAAAATACGCAAATATTGTCTTGTATTGTATTTTGTGCAAAATTTGTTGCAGTATATTTCTGTACACACAAAGCTGCTGGCCTGTCCATAAAACTTGGCTCCAGGAATCTCTTGCTATAAGATTTACGACTAAGCTTGAGGACTAGACCCGTGAGTCATGGCAGGACTACCTGCGCATATTTCAGAGCCGTGCCATTGGTGTAATGAAAAAATCCATTTAAAAGGGAAATCAGATTACTAGTAGGTACATCAATTGATCCCATCTCCAGCATTGTTTCCTTCAATAACCTGTGGAGTCTTGCCGTTATTAAAGTGTACTTTTATGTCAAATGTCCTTCACTTTGTCCGGCCCATGAATATTTCAGTGACATACATTCCCTGAGTGTAGCCATAAAACCAAGTCCGGGGGGACTGATGATAGCAGGGAATGGGACGAAAGCCTAAGCTCTGTACACACTTAATGTGGACATGTTGGTATTGGCAAATTCATTTCACTCGACTTGTTTCCGTGTGTGAAGAGACAATTTCCATTTCAATAAAAACTCGAATCCACTATATCTCTTATCCCTTTATGGCCGTGGCTTTTGATGCATGAAATATCGGCATAGCTTTAGCCTGTCCCAGTCCGTGGCACTGACACACAACCACGACACATTATCAACTTATTGATGCCAATATAGTGAGCGCAGTCGACGTTATTTTTGAAGTGCATACTACGGCCCGGAGCGTAGAGATGAGTGAAGGCCGCACGTGGTTGAAATAGTCGATATTTCTAGACAAGAGCTGGATAAACACTCCAGCATCAGATGGAGAGCCCTGCTAAACTTTGCCCAATGCCTTGCAGATCCACTATCTGTTCTTTTTCCCACTTTTATACGCAAGTTATCTAGCAAAAAAAAAATGGTAGAACAATTTGCAAAAAAAATGTTTGTGTTTTATTTCACGTCAGAACTTTATAGAACGAACAGACAAACTTTCGATGAAATGTTTTCGTTGAAAAATGGACAAATCCTCGAATGGCCACAGACAAATTTAAGCGTTTAAATATACAAAAACAATATGAATATTTTCTTTATTTAGGCTTTACCCCGTCTAATTGAAATATGTGAAACATTCCTTGGGTCGATTGCTTTGTATCGGATCCGTCCATGGTGTTGTTAGCCCGAGTCCTTCCCCTCTGTATACCTGAAGACGCCTGCGATATAGGACCACGTGTGTTGGATCGGTCGGGTAGGCCACCTAAACGTGTCCAGTGCTTTCGTAAAGCCAAGTTTCCGCAGCTTTATAGCCTCATTAGGGAAGGCATTCAAGGAAACTTACAGACCGATGTTATTTACACTGACTTCAGTAAAGCATTCAACGCTGTAAACCACTCCCTTCTAGCCGAAGAATTTGACCTTTAGGGCCAACCTCCTGAGATGGGTTTCTGGCTACCTTTGTTCCAGGTCTCACAGAGTACTCTTCAAAAACTCCCTCTGCTCGACAGTTAACGATACTTCTAGAGTACGACAGGGCAACCGCATAACCTTCCACATTCCTATTAGATCGAATATTAGTCCTCCATCTATCCTTCCTGCATGGCGCACGTCATGCAGCAGCGCCCCTCGCTCGGTTGGTTAATAGTCCTCTGCTGGTGTCGCATGGGCTATTGGATGGTGCAGTCATTGTATATCATAGTTAAGCTTAAAAACCTTTCACTTCTGGGTAGTTTTCCCCTGCCGAGAATGTTATGTATTAGTAATACGAGTATAATAAGTTGTTATTAATTAGTGGCAAGCTCTATCAGTTTTACCAATTAAAGCTAATCTAATTATTATTAAATTATTAATAATTTGGTCTGTTCAGCATACCATCTTGTTATGATAATAAAACGCACTGCAATGCTGGTTAAAGTCCTTGAGCGTCGGTACTGGATATTGTGGTGCAACCCATTACATTGTCTTTCTGCACGAGGGCTTTAATTTAAATTTTAATTAATATTCCATCATGCCATCACAGAGTAATGTGGCCCTGTTTCCCAGGCCTCCCATTCCGGTTCTCTCCTTTATTTATGTTTATTTTTGCCAGAACTAGTGCTGTCGAAATTTCCTTGGATAATACTTTCGAGAATCAAGTTTTTTGGTTATTGCCAGGCAATTAAATTTTAAAGCCAAATTCTATAATTGCCGCTTGCATGAGAAGCAGGTGCCAATTATGCAACTTAAACTTAAACAACTTAAATGCCAATATAAACCGAAGATAAGAAAGCCAATCGGGGGTTATTTTGTTCGTTTGTTTATTAAAGAATTGGTGCGGTGGAGATAGATTTTGTACAAGTTTTCATGGGACAGAGAGTGAGTCCTTTCAGTAGTGGGCCACAAATGTGTTTGGATCAATCACGGTGGCCACCTCCGCAGGGTGGACGACAGAGCGTCCTGGAATGCGATTGTAGGCAGCTGCAAAGACGGATGGAAATCAGTTGTGTATGTTCTACAAATATAAAATGCTTTACGCCCACTCACCAATTATCTTCTGGATGGCTGTCTGTGCATCCAGCAGTTGTGCGGCAGGGGCGGCGCTGGCCAGGATCAGGCAGACGGCGGCAAATGCCAGGGCAACCATGACAAATTTCGACATGCTTGTGGTTTTTGGTTTGTTTGGGCTGGATGCTCTTTCTTGAAAGTTGCTTGGAGTCTAATTGATTCTGCACGAGCCGCGCCGCAGCTATTTATACCCATCTTCGAGTGGGAGACAACAACAGACGGCAGCAGCCAAGAACGGGATGAATGAAAGCCCCTCCGCCTAGATATGGGTAGAGGCACATAGGTTATAAGAGAGAAAGAGTGAGAGCTCGTTCCTAGAGGCAGCTGTTTAGAAATGGAATTTCTTGTTTTGGTTTTGGATTCGGTTTCTGTCTAACCGTCTAATTTTTGTGGCATCCTACACTCGTATAATCCGAGAAATGTGAAACGAGTTTCGCAAAAGAACAAACGATTCGGACTGGGGAATTCTAACAGCCTCTCGCAGGAAGGCCAAACAATGCACAGCAAATGTGGCAGAAATAAGAAGCTACAAATAAATAATATCAGATACCACTTAGATGTGGAGAAGTTCTGACCAGGTGCCAGATTTGTTTATGAAATAAAGAAAGAAATAAAAAAATGATATTCTAAGCTGAAAATTGTACCTAAAATCTTACCAGATTGACACCCTATCCTCCTGCTGTGCTCCCGTTTGCTACGTTGTATTATCGAGGATAATTTCCAGCGCCGATTACCAGGCATTTACCAGTCGATAGCGCCTTGAAGATGTGGCCATAACGTACATATGAAACTGTTTTGCATACGATTTGTTTTCGACGGCGACAGTTGGGCGACAGTTCATTGTACGACTGCCCTGTTCTACAGACATTCTGGGCATTTCCCATCGTCACCACAGCCACGGCCACGGCCATATCGGCCACTTGAAAGAGTTAAGAGAAGGAATCGTTTTGCTTATTTGTCGGCTTTTGTTTTGATTGGTGATTTATAAACAAACCGGTTGGCTTAATTTGCCGCTCCGGTCAGGGGCCAAAGGAAAGTAAAATTTGTAGGTATTCTATTCGTTTCATAAATTACGTCAGCTGGAGAATTTCTCCAAACTCGAGCAAAAATGTATGCAAAATTCTTGAGATACTTCTGGGACTATGTCGTCTGCCTGCTTTGAGTACAAAAGATGATTGAAATTTACTTTTCCTCAGGGAGATGGAGAAGGCTTTCAAATTATTCAATCAATCTAAATCTTGTAAGGATAATGCAGATATGTGCCTCATTGACACATTTCCCAGCTGACAGACGAGGGAAGCATAGGCTGATCCACTTATAAGTACCTCAGGAAGACTCGCGAAGGCAGACACATGGCAATTGTTTGGGGAAACAACAATCATGTGTGTGCGAGTGTGGGTGGGTAATGAGGCAGGCGTTAAGCTGCTTATCGCAATCTTTATGGGCCTGTCATTTTCCCCCAATAATTGTAATCTATGACCCCGGTCCTGGTCTGTTGGGGCTAGAGCCAGAGGGCCAGCGATTTCATATTAATAATGAACCCCCGTATTGAGGCCCTGCACTTTTTTTGTATTTGTATATTTTTATCTGCGCTGCTACTCGTTTAATTTGGGCCGTGTGCAAATTTGTTACAGTCATAGATATATGTAGATACTCTATGGTATTTATGGATATAAATTGGCTTTTGGGCTTTAAAGAGCGAAGAGAAAAGAGCAAAAAGAGACAGGAACAGAAACGGAACGCTCTCCATGAAGACGCCACACCACACTGGGGAGGCAGCAGCTGAGTGGCAGCTAAGCATAAACATGTTACCCCAGGGCTTTTTAAATTATGTGACGATAAATTATTATTTGCTGCCTTAGCTTGCCTTTCTGTGGCTTTTCGCACTCTTACGATACATGTGTACATCTGTTTGTGGGAAAGAACTTTGCATTGCACAAGAAATCGACCCAAAGTCCCGTTTTCAGGCATTTTATTTACTTAGCCATTTCTTTGTTTGTATGCACCCAGCCGCCACGCTGCGTATGCGTAATGTGCGGCAAAAGGATTATGTGCCAGCCCGGAGAGACGGAAAAATAAGAACATCAGCATCAGAATTTGATTAATGTCGCATTAATTAGCATAAACATTACCATTACCATATACTCTTAATGTGCAAAAAAAGATACCCAGAGGAGCTACAGACGTATTCGGGCTAATTTTCATAAGCTCAAGGCATTGCTGGCACATGTACGACTAAAAGCATAAACCGCCGTTAGTAGTCACGTGTATATTGCGAAAAAGTAATTAAAAGAACAATCTGCTCTAATCCACTGTTTGAGAGAGTAGGAGCTCAGCCAAAGGACGCTCCAGCTCGCATCGAGAACACGTGCCGAATCAGCAGTGCTCTTAAATTAGATTGGCGGCGGAATTCATCGATTTGATTTGATGGATAAGACGTAGCCCGTCAAGTGGTAAATCACATTATGGAAAAGTTAGTTTCCATCGCAAGGAAAGTTCCAATTGCCAAGTCACTTTATCGTTGGATGGGGGAAAACTTCTGCATATTCAATATCACAATATCGAAGCCGATAGGTTGATCATAATTCATCACGAAGTTCATGGTGGAAAAAAAACTTTCTCTAAGCCGGACTAGCTGAAAAACAATCGCTTTTGACTAAGTTGGTGCATAAGGAGGGATATTACGAGCCTGAGCTCTTAAAAATAGAAAGCCAGAGTGTGTCAGAGGTCTCTCTTTGCGGTGGAGTGTAAAGGGCAGCACAGAGCAAACAAACAGCTGAAATGTCAAACACTTTAAATTGAAAATGGAAAGGTAAATCAGTCAAATTTAAAGAAGACAGGCTATTGCTTCATGTGGAAGGCATATACATAGTAGAAACCAAAGATGGAAGAGAGCCACAAAGAAATTAAAACCTCAATACCGCCAATAACAGTTCCAGATCGCTGCTTTTACGTATAAAGGTGCTATGTACACCTGGCAGAGTGTAATATGTATATTCAGTTCCACTTGAGAACATCATCCCCCGCTGAGGGCTTTGTGCGTCTCTGGTGCTACTTAAGCCTTCAACAGGCAGCCATATGCTGGCTGTTTGTCTTTGGGATGGCAATAGCTATGCCGATGGCGGCTCCCGTGCGTAATTTATCATGTCCTGACTTCGCTGGTAGTTGGATGCGTATGTATGTGTGTAAGTTGACATGGCCGTGCTTTTTTATTATTGCCACTTCCAACGTAATGCTATATTTATCTTGTAACATATATTCCAAGGCGCAATCGTCCCCCGATGTTGTGTTTTTTACCATTTGGCGTCATAGCGGTTTGGTCCTTTGAGTCCAAACCATCGTCACCTGGTTCTGGCCCTACCAAAGTTACAATGCCAGCCACGGCAACAGTCACGGCAACAGCCACGGCAACAGCCACGGCAACAGCAACAGCATCATCAAAGCGCAAAAACAACAAACAGCAAAAACCTAAAGGAGCCGAGTCGAGACGAGACCAGACCAGGATGTTTTTATCAAGAGTAGAAGCCTCTGAACATTCCACTGCGATAATTGCTGACGTAAATCAGGCACAAAAGGGAAATAACGGAGGAGGACTTAAACACATACGCGTGTGCAGAGAGTGACAGGACCTGTTAGCGTTAAAGGCGCCCGAACATCCGGAACATCGGACACATTAATGCCCAACATTTCTCTTGGAAACCGCATCACAAATTGATATAAATATTCATCTTAGCTGCTGCTGAAAGGACAACAATATTACTAAATGTGGGGGGCGGGCACTGAATTGAATCTTGAGTTTTCTTAGCTGAAGATAAACAACACAAAACAAAAGCCTGTCCCGGGAATTGATTCAAATCGAAATATTTGCATTTTATTATTGTATAAGCCATTTGGTTTTGGGACTTAGCAATTGGAAATCTTAAAAGCCATACTAAGTGCCCACAAAGCACCTTTTTCTTGTTTCTCGTTTCACTTGTCCTTCGGAAATCGTGCGGAAAAGACAGGCTTGTTGTTGTTTTTATTGGCCAAGTACGCGAGAACACATTTCTCAAATTAATGTGTAAAAAAAGACAAGAAACATTATGCAAATCACGTTTCGATTTTTTGTTTTGTTTTGTTTCTTGCGCATCTACGCGTTGAAAAGTCAGGGGGCCACGGTATTTTTTTAAGACATGACAAGGTGGGGTGGTTGTGGGAGGGAAGGTGTTCTTTATTCTGTTTTATGGCCAACACACGTACGAAATTTGCAGCGAAAGTGAAATTTGAAAGTAACATCCGGTAGAATTATGTTTATTACATCAAATTGCTCTTCTCTTCATCATAAATATTCCAGTCCCACCAAAAGCTTTCCTACATATATTCCACTGTAACGAATTCATATCAGTGTCAATCATTCACTTCAAATAAATCCACTTTGGCGCGCAGTTACAGCGACTATCCAGTCGATAGTATCGATCAATAGTATCGGTAGCCAAACAGCTGTTTGCTCTGTATACTTTTTCAATATGGCTGCGAGCGAAAAAAAATATACGCTGCGCTGAGCTGTTTAGTGTGTTAGCCGAACAATTAACCCATTGTAGACCATGACGGTATTTGAATATTCCACCGAAAATAATGAAAATTGTATCATTTTAGCGCAGTTCAGGTGCAAGATATCGTAGTTTTTTTTCGAAGTTCAAAGAAAAGATGGCATGGATCTACATGAAGAACTTATAATCAGTCAGATTTTCCGCCATTTGACTCAAGTCGTTGAACTGTTTAAATACAGGGGGCTTAAGTGGGCTAAGTTCGTTGTTTCATCGGCATGCGAGACGCTGTATTGCACCAAAATTGAGGCAAAAACAATAAAAGCAATCTCCATTGCAGGAAAACAAGCCAAGTATTTAATACATGCTAGTCAAGTGGAAAATTGATTCATTAATCGGCTAAAATTATGTGGCCAGGGCTGAGGGTTCCATCCAGCTAGTAATATTCGACGGAATATCAAAAACGAGGAATATGTATGATGGAGCTTGAATAATTCGTCAGTATATTGACGGTATGAGGTTCGACGGTACATCAGTCCTCTGCTGCGCGAATTGTGCTACAAACTAAAATTGTTATTAAACAATTAACAAACGAATACCGCGAAAAAGGCCAGTGCCCATTAATATAAAATCGCGACTAAAGTTCGCGAAAACAAGAAAAAAAAACAAGAAAACCACCGCCGGTAGCCGCGCCAAAAAATAAGAAAAAAAAAACCCCGGGGTGCACCACAAAAAAAAGAAGAAAAACACGCGCAGTAATGGAAGCAGACATTGCGCCTGTGATTGCCGCCAATGGCACTGAAGAGATTAGCCCCGGTGTAGAGGTGCCCCCCCCGGTGGTTTACCAGGAGCTGCAGCCACATACCGACCAACAGCAGGACAAGTCGATAGAAGCCACAGACGCCTCAGAAGTAGTGGGAGATCTTATGGAGTACATAGGAGAGGTACTGGTTATAATCCAAAGTGTCAAGCACAACAGATTTTCTTCATAAAAAGTGTTCATTTTAGGGAGACGCCTCCACTCATACAATGGCCAATGCAGCAGAGCCGGAGGAAGTTGCAACAATAACACCAGACGTTGCTGGGGCCGTGCAAATAGGGGAAGCTGAATTTTTGGACGATGAGATGCCCGAAGTGGATGTGCATAAGCTGATTGAGGAGGTGGACAATGCTAATACATCACCCGCAGAGCAGGGCATCGATGGGGGCGCAGAAAAAGCCGATGCTGCTGACATCGGTGCGGAAGAAGATAATGCTGCAGAAAAAGACGATGCAGCTGCTGCTGACGTCGGTGCTGAAGAAGATGTCGCTGCCGTTGAGGAGACGGATGTTACTGCTGAGGAAAATTTTGAGTCTGCATCGGCTTCGGAAGAGGAAGCTGAACTAATCACCGGTGACGAGCCACCCAAAGAGCAGGCCGATGGCACTGACCCTGTTCCTGCCGTCAGGGAGCGCAAGAAGGAGGAGGAAGTTGACGAGAATCAGTGCCGCGTCTGCACCAGCAAGGAAGATCTAGTCAGCCTCTTCAAAAAGACAGTCGACGCCACACCCGCCGACATGCTGGTGGACCTCTGTCCCAACTTGTCCATTGCCGTCAAGGACTTCATGCCGCAGTTCATTTGTACAACGTGCTTAAACAGTCTCACCATTGCCATACAGTTGCGGAAGCAGCTGGAAACCACAGAACGAGATCTACGCAAGCGCCTGTCGCGCAGCAAGAACAAGGTGCGTCGTCCTCGAGGGTATGTGGTCATTGATGCCCCCGTTTCCGACTCAGCCAGCGACGATGATGAGGACGACGATGTGGAGTTCAAGGTGTCGGACGTGGCAGGTTCCACTAGTGCGGAGAGCGACTCACCCGAGTCGGACATCAGCGAGAAACGCAAACGTTCGATGGGTCGCGGTCGTGGACGCAAGAAGGCCACTAAGCGCGGCAGCGAGGACAACGATGACGAATCGGTCAGTGCCTCAAAGAAGAAGGCACATGGCTCCCCCTCGATGACCGGTCCCTTTGAGTGCAATCAATGCGACCTGACCTTCTCGCGCAAACAGTCTTACGTTCTACACCGCAAGTCCCACGACCCACGCAGTGTTTTCACCTGCGAGATTTGCGAAAAGACATTCAAAGTGCAATGGGCCTACAAGACCCACATGGAACGTCACGCCCAGGAGCGTGCCCACTTCCGCTGTGAACTCTGTACGCAGGTCTTCAAGCTGCGAGCCGAACTTAAGCGCCATATGGCCGTGCGACACGACGAGCATGGCTTCATCTACGAATGCAAGCGATGCCAGCGCACCTTCCTCACCCAGCAGCGCTTGCAACGCCATCAGAGCACCAGCTGCCTCCGCCATGGCGAGGAGCGCAGCAGCCACAACAACAAGCGCAGGTCCACGGAGGGCCAGCCACAAGGCAGGGACCTCTTCAAGTCGGTGGCCCCCCTCACCACCACCTACTGGAGCGACAGCTTCTCGGACTAAACTGTGTGCGGGCCCGGTGCTGGTGCCGGTGCCGGGCAGAGCTCGTGCTTGGAAATTTCGGACATGTGGATTTCTGTTTCTATGAAAAGAATTTAAGTTTATCTAGCTTTAAGATGAAATTAGTGCAAACAAATACATAAACATATGTGTGTAACGAATGCGCATTGAATGTTAATCTTCTTTAAGATTCTCTTAAGCTTCTGCTCTGGTTGCCCGGTGGTCTGCTGCCAATAGAAAGGATTTTCCCCATAAATTTTCCAAATGAAAAACAAAAGTTCCCTAACAGCTGAAGCAATATGGACCACAGCATTATACATTAATGTTGTACGATTCAATGCTCCTTTCCTCTAATGCTCCTCGACTGTGCAACAAAATTGCAGCATTCATTTGTATTTTGTGCGCACAATCATAATTTAGCTGTAGCTTATGTTTATAATGTGGCTGTTTGGCCCTAACAATGAGTATTTAACAGCTGGGCTTGCATCTGCCAGCCCCTGCTGCTCCGCTGCCATGCCACAAGCAACCGACCAGAGTACTTGACTTGACTGCAGCCACTCAGAAATAAAGTTTCCTCATGGCATGAGCTTAATCTGGAACGTTCTTTGAGCAGTTGCGTACGCGCTTAAATGCAGACGGAGGAGGACTGGTTCAACACATGTATTTATTTATACGATTATGTACAAAAGCAGGTCATTAGGGAAAGAAAGCACGGAAGGGAGTCCAATCGTACTAATGCCAAGCAAAAGTGTAGTATCTCTGGTGCTGCTCTTGTGGGTGCTGTTCCTGCTGCTGCTGCTGCTGCTGCTGCTGCTGCTGCTGCTGCTCACTCACGACTCTGGGGTTCATTAGAAGTGATGGTAGGAGTGGAGGGAGTGGATGGAATGGTAGCTGGGCAGGTGATACGACACCGGATGATGCGCGATGAGCGGTGCATGCGAGATGAGTGGTGCATGCGAAATGAGCGGTGCATGCGAAATTAATGGTGCGTGGTGTACTATAGTCGGTGCGGCAACGTAGTGCGAGGATGTCACCAATGGGGCGTGGTAGCCCAGACCGAGCGACAGGCCACGCTTGGCCTTCACAGAGCCCTCCTCTGCACCTTGCTGCTGCTGCTCTTCGGCCACGGGTGCGGGTGCAGGTGCGGCCAGGATGCAAGTAGCACAGGCAATCAGCAAAATTAACTGTTTCGCGATGTTTTTCCAAGAATTTTCCATTAACGAGTCATGACCGATGGGCAAGCGAGAGCCATAGAAAGAAAGGGTGAGGCAGTGGGTTTTTAATATTTCGCATTCTCCATTTCAAAAGGAATGTGCACAGAAACTCAATTTCAGTACTTACAGTGAAATTCATTATTAATGATTGACTCTCACGGGGCACGGACACTTTACACTGGACACTGGACACTGGGGGCACTGTTTCGACGGGGTTCTCCCGAAAATTCAACTAACTTCGATGGCAGTCAGAACGACTGTATTTATACGATTTTTCCGATGTGCGTACACGCATAGAAACTCACTCAAAACGAAACCGAACTGCACTCATTAGGCAGAAACTATTTGGGCCCACAAATGAAAATCAAATAAAACATTGACGAGAAAAATATCATGCCCACATCGATCCAAAATTGCACAAACAAGTTGCAGCAGCAGCTCCATTCTGCACCATTGTGTGTGTGAGAGTATCTGTGCGAATGCATTTGTGTCCGACAGAACGCCAGAGCGACTGTCTGACTGCTCGACTGTCTGACAGCATAAGCAGTTTGGTTTTTTGTCTAATTCAGAAAATTATTTGGAGTAACACACGCTCAAGTCACTCACTGGCGAGTGTCAATGGAGACGGATACCCATAAATTACCTGTATTTCTAATGGATAATCGCGACTAAGTTCTTCTTAGTAATTGCATCGCTTAAATGCCAAAAGCATAAATACCAAAACATGCTGGTCCAGTGGTGAAATATATTCATTCAACAAACAGCACAGTTCATGTACTAGTTCCACATTTACCACAGTTCACTGCACCACCAATTGCATTTAATCCTCTGCAGTGCTCATGATACAACACAGGTCCTGCATGCCATGGTCGACCATTAAAGCATAGGGAAAATTGTAAATTGCCAATTTACTTTATAGCTAAAAAGCTTTTAATAAGTTCTCGTTCATCGCACAGCAATATATATTCTGCATTTAAGCTTAAGTTCTGGCCTTCGAGCGCCTGGTCATTACGAGAACTTATGCCTTTTTAATGTTCAACAAGTGCATGGGGATAGTACGAGCAGGCAGAGCAGAATAGGCCAATTGGCCCAGCGTGGCTCCAAGCCGCATCTGTCTCCTGTCGTTCTAGTGAAATGTTGCAATAAAAACATCCGCCACACACTCACACACTCACACACTAACACCAGAGAGCCCGGCGTTAATTAACGGCATAGGGAAGTGGCCGGAAAAAAAGCCAAAAAACGAAACAGCCTGAAGTTCCTTTGCCGCTTAAGTACAGTTTTCTGTTTGTATCACTTTGTCTGCCATTACCCCTCATGTGCTTGTGGGTGTGTGCGTGTGAATGTGAATATGCGTGCCACCTGCCACCGGCTGCGACGAAAAACAGTCTTATGAAAAAGGACGGAAGTAACAGCAGCTAACAAGATAATTGTACAGGGATTGTTTTTTGCAAGTTGGCAAAACAGAAATGGCCATCGACGACACAAGCTTAGAGGGCATAAAGAGAGACGTAAAGTTAAAGCGGATGCTCTTTAGTGGAACGGAATCCTCAAAATGCCAGGATTTTTCCCTGGAAAAACTAATGATAGTCTATTAGATGATGGCACAGTGAAGACACGCATGTGGGGTTGTTTTTTATTGAAAGACCATTGAAAAGCCTCCAGTAACGAATTGTATTCGTTGGACATAAAGATTTGTCGGCAGAAATTTGTCGTTTTAAGAGCGGTCGGACACCTGCAACAAACTGAACATAATTGAATCGGCTACCTGGAGATCGTCGTTGTCGTTTCTTGATGACCATTTCGTTTTGATGGAATGTTCAATCGTAAAGAATAATTACCCGCCACAGATGTAGTCGTACGTCGCGGCTCAAAATGTTGACGAAATCGAAAGGCCAATCCATCAGCATCAAAACGCTGACAAGCAGCAAATGACAGGCCAGGTCCAGGCCCCACTCTACGGCATCCACTGAACCGCCGCACAGCTAATTCAAGAATTATGCATACCTGATGAGGCAATGCTGTCGTTGTAGTCGTCGTTCAGACTGGCATGGACAAGAGGGTGGAGCAGGGTGGAGTGGTTGGAGATTGCAAAATATGTGCTGCGAACAGGATTCGATTCAGATTCAGATACAGATTCGGATTGGTTTTTGGGCCATTAGCCGAATGCAACACCTTCGACGACGTGTGGACATGTCGACATTGATTTGCACCACTCACCTGGCCGAGTGTCATATGCTAACCGTCAAATAAGTAGTTGCAACTGGGTCTGCGTGCTGCCAATTAATTTCTGGGCTACGCCCAGGCACGACCGCTTACCGTTGCATTGCATATTCCATTAGTTACACTTGCAATGCCACGGAAAAACGCGGGCAGGACGGTATTGGTATTACACGGTGCTTACCATCGGGAGGAAGCTTACTAAACCGATTGTCAAGTAAGCTCAAATGTGGACAAAAATTTGTACATTCTCCTGGTACCACGTTTTCCGCTGCGGCCTTCAATGCTTGGGCGGAATGGACGCGCGTGGGAGGTTGGGTGATTATATCACACAGCGGTGAACAAAATAAATGCAGGATTTGCTTTGGCCTCTGACACGGGCTTTGGAAGTTCAATTTGTTTGGCCCTGGCAATGTGGTCCGTTGTGGCCCATGTACACATAAGTCTTTTGTTTGTCTGGTTTCGCAAGATTATTAAAGCATTTCAATTGGTTATTTTCAGCACTCGCTTTGCATAGGGTTTCTAATAGGTGGATGGCATAAATATCGGCCACATCAAAATGCAGTTAACCAGCAACATGCCGCAGTCGCATCTGCAGCAATCGGTGCCCTTCAATGCCACCATACTCAAGGACTTTAAGATAACCAGCAGCGAGATTGAGGATTTTGTGAAGCTTATGTACGAGTTCCAGCGGAAGAACCAGTCAAAGCTGAACGACGAATGCCAGGGGTACTGCCAGGGTGAAATCTACAACTGGCTGAGGGCCTACAACAGCATTCATGGCTATGTATCCCTTATGGTAAGTATTACCCACCCCATCTGCACAGCAACAAGACTAATGATCAACAATACAATGAAACGAATGGCTTGGGGTTGGGACAAGGGTTTGGGGTTGGGATTATCGTCATGAAAAGTCAAGAAATGAAAAACTGTCCGAAAAATTGTGCAAAATGTCCTGCCACGGACTGTCTATCCGTCAGCTCCTGCTGATGAATCTTTGGGGCTCCGACACCTTTGAACTTTTGCCAAGCCCATGAAACTGTTGGTACTTTTTCGTGCAGCTCGGATGAATAGGAGTAATGCGTTGGGCACAATTCACAAATCATTGTCATTCAGTCTGTCAGGGGTTTCCTTTGCATGGATATGAATAAGGTTTCGATGTGGTCGGAAGTTAATTAAATATTTCAAATGTTCAGCAAACACAGATATTACCGAATAATGGTCGGTTGGTTAAACTCGACAATTAGAGCAATTATTTGATTTTTATCATTCGGTTTGGGAAAACGGAAAAGGTCAAATGGAATATTACAAATTAATGTATCAAATGAAAAGCTCAGGATGTTTTCACAGTAAATCCAAGGGAAACTCGAAAAATAAAGCATTTCCATTTTGATGGGTAGTGTGGCCTGGGCCTGGCCTGGCAGAGAGTCAGTAACAGTGTGGAGATGGGGCGATGTGGCAGAGTCCGATAGAAATTCCCCACCACCCCACCTTTATGAATAACTCATCCCTTGGTTGCTTTTGTTTTCCCTTTTCTGTTGGCCCAAACACACACAGATTTGCATTTTCGGAACAATAGCAAACATCTTGAACATAATGGTGCTAACCAGAAAGGAAATGGCCAAGGCGCCCATCAACAACATTCTGAAGTGGTTGGCCGTCGCTGATATGTTTGTGATGCTCGAGTACATACCCTACACCTCCTACCAGTACATATACATGGAGCCGGGTAAGCGTCACCGTCTTCTCCCCCTTATGGAGATGCTCCTTTCCTGCTAATGCCTGGATTACGCACTGTTTTGTAGGTGAAAAGGATCTGAGCTATGCGTGGGCCGTGTATCTGCTGGTGCACATGCACTTCACGCAAATCCTGCACACAATTTCCATTGGCCTGACAGTGATGTTGGCCGTGTGGCGCTATGTGGCGATTAGGTGAGTGGACTGGCTGGCCAGGCTATTGTGATGTGCTGCAGTAGCGTTCGGCTGCTATCATTCATTCCGATAAAGGCATTTGCGCAGAACAATCCATACCGTCTAACCCACATCGACATCGATATCAAAGTCTGAGTAGAGATGGACGTCTGTCTAATTTGATTAACACGGCAGCAATATGTCTGTTTCTGTTCTTCTTTTCTGTCTTTCGTTTATAGCCAAATGTTACCATCTCTTTTCCACAGACATCCAAATGAGGGCTGTGCCAATTTTCTGCTCGCACATTCCAGGGAGGCCATACTCTTCCCGTTCATCATTTCGCCGATTCTCTGCTTGCCCACGTACTTTGTGTTTCAGGTGCGGGAGACGCACGACGTGGACACTGTGGACCACGAGGCCCTTTACCATGTGTACTTTGATGCCGATTCGGTTTTGTACAGGTGCGTGTGACCCGCACATTATCATCTCCATCCTAATTGCCTTCCTTCCTCTGACAGATTCAATTTCTGGATACATTCCGTGATCATCAAGCTGTTGCCGTGCAGCGCCCTGACCGTCATCAGTGTCGTCCTAATGAATGTCCTGTACGAGGCCTCGCGTCGTCGCCTCAAGCTGAAGGACTACGGCCATGCCAACAAATATGCCACCCAGCTATGCCTCAATGACACCAAGTCCAAAAGGTGGGTACGCGATCGATGTTATTTCTGTTATTATTGCCGTGAGCTAACATTTCTTTAGGCCACCGCGATGCGATCGCCGCAACGATCGCACCACTCTGCTGCTGGTGGCAGTGCTGGTGCTGTTCCTGGTCACCGAATTTCCGCAGGGATTGCTCGGACTGCTGTCCGGGATGATGGAGAAGTGCTTCTTCGCCCACTGCTATCCGCCCTTCGGGGAGCTGATGGATCTCCTCGCCCTGATCAATGCGGCTGTCGGCTTCGTGCTATATGGCCTCATGTCGAAGCAGTTCCGCACCACCTTCCGTTCGCTGTTCTTCAAGCGGCACTTCGGCAGCACAGAGATGACCCGCTTGACCCGCGTCACCACCACATGCGTCTAAGGGGGGAGAAGATTGAGCAGAAGGCCAAAGCCCGACAGGATATGGCATCTCAAAGATGCAAAGATGGGCTTGCCTCCATTGGAATTTCCAAACTATATATACTTTCTAAAAGTGTTATTATCTGTGAGCTGAGAATTTTGATCGGTTAATTGATTAATTGATGGATTCGTCATGTGATTTGGCTGTTTGAGCAAGTGCCATTTCCCTTCCCATTTAGCTGCTGATAAAAGTTATTGGATTACGGCTTAAGATTAAAGATTAAAGGATTTTATCCTTTATCAATTATCCGTTTGATGTTTCATATTGATGTGCGTTTCGTTAGCTTAAGATACATACATGTGTAGGTCTTGCCACGTAAGAAATTAAACATTAAACTACAGTTTATTCCAGTGTTTCGTATACTCTATGCCTAAGATATGCCTATGTCCTATATACATGTTACATCTCTGTGTGTATCTATATCTGTGACCAGAGCTGAAGCCGCATGCCATGCCAGGAGGGCAAGAACGCGAGAGCCCACGCGTTATACTGCCCCTCCTGTCATCAGGCAGTACCCAGCCTCTACAGTTTATTCGATCTATGTATGTATTTATTGCACTTACGGTTGCAGTTTACTCTATAAAGTTAAGTACCGATGCATTTTACGAGTATCATCCAAGTAATACAAAGAAACGTTCATTTAAGTGTATTCACGTTCGAATAAATGTTTGGTGTGAGTTAAGCATCTTTGATGCCAAGAAAGATTCTTATGGGATGGGAATAACCCAGCGGTGGAATTGTCTTCTTCTTCTTCTTTATTCATATCAGATTTACATCATATTATGCGTATACATGTAGAGTTCTTCCAATGAAGAGATTTTCGCTTTAGTTCTGGCTTACAACGGCATTCACCTCCAGTGGCAGCTCATCAGGCCGCAGCTCCGGCGCCGTTGCCAATGCCGCCTCATCCGACTCAGCGGCCTCCAGCGGCATTCCATTTCCTTGATTCGAGATACGAAGCAGAGACTTGAGTTTCGTTGCCTGGAACTTGTACTGCGAGAAAGCGAGAATGTTAAAGCGTTTAAAGAAAGTAGCCAAAAAGCATTTCGTTTTGGAGGCATTTGCTATTCGCGTTGTATTCGAGTCGACTTACTTCCGTGGGCAGCATCAGGTCCTGGGCCTGGCTCATGAATCGATTGTACTGCTCCGTGGCCAGAGCGAGGCGACCCGTCTCGTAACAGAAGAGAGCAAAGTTCAGGAACACCAAAGGATTACGTCCGGCGCCCTGCTGGCCAGTGGCCATGCTACTGGACCGCTCGAGAGCCACGAACGCGTTGTCCACGTCGTCCAGCTTGCGCAGACAGACTGTGGATGGGGAGGAGTAGGGCGGATATCATCTTGAGGACGAAATGAACGTAAGCATGGCTGGCTCCTACTTACGGCCCAAGAGCATGTAGCACTCGGCATTGTCCTTGCGCAGGTTTATGGCTGCGGCCAGCGTGTGAAAAGCACTGGCGTATTGTTCAGCTGCGTCCGAGATGGGGTGAAGATGAACAGATGCCCCGCTTTAGAAAAAAAAGGGCAAGGAACAATGTGGGGAAGCGCAGCTTCCAGTTGGGCTTTTGGTTGGCACATTTTCCAAATTTATGAGATATGAGTCGCCTGCTGTACAGCAGCAGCAGCTCCCCCAAGCATTTATTTGCATCTTTTGCCAGTGTGCCACTGGACTATGCCCTCTGTCACACTTATTGTTCCCATTGTCCGGCTGTGGTCCATTCATCGCGCCTCAATGCCCCACGGCACGTGCCTAACCCGGACTCTGCAATCCTACAAATAACAAGAACTGCATGCGTTCTTTTTGTAGAACAATGGTATTGGTTTCCAATTCCAATAAGCCCCGCTGTGAATTTCCACTCAGCTCAACCCAGCTTCTGCATGGACATCGGAGGGCAACATGTACATGCTGGCCACAAAGGGAACACAACAGTGAGCAAACCAAGTCTTTAGGATGGCAGACATCTTCGTTTGGAAAGGGAAATCGGTCAGAGGTGAACAGAACAGCATCAGAATGAATGGGCAATGATACGCATACGGATTTTCCGGAGTAACGAATTTTGGCAGTAAAGTTACTCAAATGAAAGACTTGAGGTAGCAGATGAATCGATTTGAATTTGTATGCAGTAAATATGTAGGGATTCCATCCCGCTGACCATACGCAAACCCATTGCTGGCCGCATTTGCATTGTACAAACTAAATGCAAAGACAGGACGACCACCACCGACTGTCAGTACTCACAGGCAATGTAGATGAGGCTCAAGTTGTAGAGAGCATTGTAATTGAGCGGCGAAAGCCAAACTGATTTTCGCAGCGATGAAACGGCCTGGAAAACGATTAAATATTGAAATGCCATCAGAATGTCAAAGCGCCAGCGGGAGAGTGGCTCATTCAAGTGTAATTAAGCCCCTACCGCAATGAATTTTTGCTTCTTGAAGAAGCACAGACCAATGTTGTTCCACAGCTCGGCGATTTCCGGCTCGGCGTTTGCGATTTGGCTGTACTTGCTCAGGGCGCCATCCACATCGTTGCGGGACTGTCGAAGAGAACAACACCAGTACAACAGTTGATTGGGTTTGGGTTTGGGGTGCCGCAATTGTGCTACGCTACCTGCAGAATGGCGCCGAAGGCCAATAGGCCCTTTGGGGAGCATTTCCGTTCGATGACGACTTCCGCCAAGCGATCGTAGGCCTTTTGGGTCTCATTGATTTTCAAGTACAAAACGCTGATTTCAATCAGCACCTCCGCATTCTCCGGCGTCAAACTGAAATCAATTGTTGGGTGATAAGGGTCCACAGCAGAGACGTCATTAGCATCGCAATGCGGATGGATACTCACTGCAAACAGTTCTCGAGGACATCGATGGCCTGCTGGTACTGCTTGTCCTTGCGATAAAGCTCTGCCAGCCGGACGTGGCTCTCCATCTTCTTGCCCGTCTGCACGGCCAGCTCGAAATATGCGCGTGCCTCGTCCTGCTGCTTCTTGGCCATCTCCAGCTGGCTCTGAGTGGTCGCCGACCGGTACAGCAGCTCGCCCAGATAGTGATAGATCTCGTGATCCTTTCGAGGACTGCTCTGCTCGGCCTCGCGGAACACGTCCAGCGCCTGACTAAAGCGACCCATCACGTAGCTGGGCCGGGGTTGCCGTGGATGAGTGGACACGAGATTCATGAGTGCCTGGTGTGGGCTAATGACAATTGACTTACAGAGTTCGTCCGATTTCCTTGTACGTCTCGATGTTCTTCGGATTGAGCTCCACGGACCTTTGCAGGTGTCGCAGCGCCTCGATGTGGTTGCCCTCTTCGCGGTCAATTAGGCCCTGGGCGAGGGCAATCAATTAGAAAGAATACCCGGCATTAGCACCGCAACTTGGTACTTACCAGGACAAAGTACAGATACTCGGCATTCAGGTGACGATTCAGCTCACGTCCGATGAGACGGCGGCAGCGGCTGAACTCGCGCCGCGTAAAGTAAATGTGGAGCAGCCAATCAATGTTGGCATCGCTGGGCATTTTGGGAGCTAAAAGCAAACACAACACAAAAGCAAAGGTATGTAAATCCGCAAAGTTTGCGCACAGTTTGTAAATGAATGACAGGACTAACCTGGACGCACCACCTCCAGGCTGGGCAACTCGATGATTCTGCCGTTGCAATTGATCCGCTCCGTGCCGGCCTCGTACATTTTGGGGTTTATTCTACACAAAAAAAGGCTTTTCGATTTGTTTTGACTGGCAGCTTTAAAGGTTGGGTTGCCATGGCGGCCATAGTGGTGTGGTGTGGATAGTTGTTGGGGGTAGGAAAGGGAGGGGACGGTAAACGACGCATTAGGGTTGCCTAGAAATGAACTTGTTAAGTGGATTAATGCCTGCTGGCCAAGAGCTGTCTGGCCGGTCCGAATTCGGGGCCTGTGCAAATTCCACGCCTTGTATTTTTAATTAGCTGCGACGAGAATGTCCAAAACTCATTCGAAGCTAATCGAAATGCAATAAAAACAATCTATAAATGCACTGGGCAAGGTAAGGTAAATAATTGCCAGGCCAAAGATACGAGTACTTTGTAGACAAGCAGTTTTTCTTTTTTCTTTGGTATCTCCAACAAGTTTCCACGGTACGCTCTTTGTTGTCGCAGCTCCTATCTATGACACCGCCTAATTACTCAATTTAATTCACACCGACAAAAGTGGCAAATGTTTGCAAGCGTTCGCTTAGGTTCGGTTCGGTTCGATTCCATTTGCGGCCGTAATCGTAGTAAACATGTGATCGTGAGCTACATTTCAAGTGCTTACCTGGCCAAAACCAAAGCAATTAATGCACTAAATATCGTACAAGATCACCAAGATAACCATCGGCCGCATGATCGCCTCGCTGATCTCAAAGCGTTTCCAAAACACGCTGCAACGGGAAGTCGCAATGCAATGCTTGTTTCTCCCGCTCCCGCGCGGACGTTTGAGCGATTGGCCACTGAATGGTACATGAGAGCGAGCGAGGGGGAGAGAGTTAAAGTGCAGTGCACCTGTGTCGGTATTTGGTGGGAGAGGGGCGAAGAATCCAAGCAGTTTCTGACACTTTCCTTTTGTGGTAGTGTGAATTAGGAAGAACATCAATGATATTGTTCGCCGCTATTGGCATGTTAGGCCTAAGAGATAGTTTTATGAAGAACAAAGAATCTTGCAACTTTTCGTTTTGCTAATTTTATTTGCGGCCTCAAGATTAATGTAAACGGTTTGCTTTCAAGCGTTTCAAAAATATATATTGTTTATTTTATTTTTCGCGCTAAACCCAGGGATGAGAATGTAAAATATCGATGCACAAAATTATATATCGATATGTAACTCTGACAAAAGCTTGCCACCATGAATCGATTCGACATTCGACAAAAGCTGAAATGTATGAATGATATCGTAAAATTGCAGTGCCGCCATCTGTGAATTGCTTCTCGAAATATTTAGTTCATCGATGTGCCGCACAGGTGGCGCAGTGAATTATCGGCTTGTGAATGATATTTTTTCCACCGACGCTTTCTGCGAAAACCTAGAAACGAGTTTTGTTTTGATTATGTTTCTAAAGGGCAGAATAAACAAGAGAATGAATACAAAAAGGGAATAATTCGAGTGTGTCCATCATGGCCACATCTTATATTACTTGGACATAGACGGGCTGAGGGGCCTGGGTTAGATGATGGGCCAGGAGGAAGTAGTGCTTAAAGAAAACATCCTGGAACAGAACCTCCTCCGATTCGCCAATCGATGGGTAGCATTATGGATCAGTCTTCATATTTTATTATTCTGGAATATTTCTATGTAAATGGC